CACACACACACACACACACACACACACACACACACACACACACACACACACACACACACACACAATCAATCAATCAATCAATCAAACTCTTTTTTCAAGTTTTTTGTTTATTTATTTTCAAATTTTGCATCTTTATTTTTCTAAAACACCTCATACCCTTGCGAAAAACAGAAATTCATTTCTAAAAAATACAGGTGAACTCAGGGACCATATATCGGATGATAAAAAATGACAAAAAAAAATTCCAGTTTTTCTTTATTTTTATTTTTTTTTATTTTCCTTAAATCGAATTTAGTTTTTTATTTTTAAAAAATCCTAAACAAAGTCGGATTCCAAAAAACAAAATATGCGGTTGTAGGGCTTAAAATTCCCTACAACCCCATATTTTCTTTTTTTTTTGGGGCTATTATTTAATTCAGGAAAAATCTGGTAAAATCGGGTCCGCGACGCGAACCCAGTAGGCCGTGGCGGCCGTGAATACGTCCGCCCTCCGAGCTTGGCCCCGCGGACGTGTTTCATAGGGCACCCATCACACCAACCAGGAGCTGCAGCACAACGTTCCCTTTCACTCATGGCTGATGCGACTGCACCTATCTGGTTCGTCATTTTGCCTATGCTCCTGGCGACGATGGTGGCACCTTCCTTGTTCGCCTGAGCAATCGTCGTCGCGGCTCTATCCAAACCATCCACGTACACACGTGTGGACTCAGCCATGGCAGCTCCCACAGACGACACAGAAGACGGGTCATCTCCAACATGGACTCTGTTGCCGCTGGTTCGCCTGAACTTCGACCTACTTCCCCGCGTGTCGGACCCTCCTCTATCTGACCGTGCTTGCTCACCTGAACCTCCCCCTGTGCCTCTTGCTTCACCTCCACCCATGGTGTCCGAGTTCATGGCTTCATCACACGTCCCAGACGGTCTTTGTAACACACACTCCATCGCCTGCCAAAGACGTTGATCGAATGTGGCGTAAAGACCTTCGGCCTCTCTCTCCTCTTTGGTCATATCCCAATACGATTGATGGCCTGACCGCCCCACCTTATCCACAAGCAGTTTCAGCTTTTGTCCCAGGTTAAACCATATTTTCCTATTGTCCTCGGCGGACCTCATCATCCCTTCCTCTTTCATGCGCTCGGACACCCACTCTTGTCTCTCCCCCTTCTTCATGCACTTGTGCCTGACGGACACATCGGCCTTTATGGTATTATCCTCACGTTGCCATTTCGCCAACGCCAAGCACTCCTCCAGCGTCCAAGGCACTATCTTTTTGGCAGGAGTTTTTCCTTTACGCATTCCCTCGTTAACTGGTGCCTGGTTGTCATTGGACTCCTGCCCACCTACGTCCTTTCCACTCCCACTCGCCTCCGCAGGGCATGCAGGTGGTGGTGGAGTACACCCTCCTCTGCCACGTCCTCCCCGTCTCGGCTGTCTTGGCCGAGCGCTTTGTCCATTGTTGTCACTTGTGCCTTGTCGCCCTTCACCTCGCCCCCTTCCATCACCACGGCTGGTCGGTGGCAAGCCGCCACGCAGACGATCGACAGACTCGGACGACCCAACCTCGACTGTGACCTGCTGGGGGGCTGCATGAGAGCAGACCTGCCCTTCAAGCACACCACTACCATTGTCCACGTCCGCCCCCGTCGTCGCATGTAATTGTCCATGCCTCGGCATTCCTCCCTGTGGCAATGTCCCCTGTCCATTCCCGGTTTGTGCCCCACGTGTCGAGAAGTCGTTTTGTCCATGGCTGTACACACCGCCATTCCACTGCTGGTTGGATGTCACCCCGTAAGACCGTTGTGGTCCTGACAAATCGTCCACTGACATCCGTTTAGGGAGACCACCGGAGAATAGCTCCTCGTACTCCCCGCACAGAGCCGTTGTAAAACTGCCTGCACCGGTCATGCTGCCCCCATGCATGGGCATGTGAGTGGGGGTCGGTTGTGAGTACACAACGCCAGACAAACTACCAGAGCCGGCCACACCCCCATGGTCATCTCGAGCATGGTAGAAAGGTACAGGACCCGATCGCACATCTCGGAGGCCGGGCGGATCGTTCCACCGTGCCGGCAGTTGCCCAACAGCCGCGGGGAAGGTCGGAGGGACACCGAACTTGTCAGCGTCCTGACTCAGCATGGACAAGTGGGTGGATGGCGAAACGGAGTGCAAGCCTTGATACTGTGCCGATTGTTGGGAACTGTGAACCTCAAATACCTCCATTTCCGCCGTCCTCGACCCAATGCTGTCTGTCCATGTTCACAAAGCAGAGGACAATGCAAAAACACCTTGACCTTCGTCCCCTACGAAAAACGGATGAAAACGGCAACGCAAAAGACGAGAGCGACGAGAAGAACAACATAGGCCAGAAAGATGGTAATGACAAGGATGACCGACAACCCTAGCATGAAGAGGATTGTGGGATGAAGGAAGATGCAAGGAGTACGAACATCTCCGCAGCAGCAACATATAGGACCTCTGCTGCCAGGCAGGTTGATCCCCGGCACCTCTGCCGTCGTCACTGCCACGGATACATGTGGCTGCAGGGTCGTCGACTCTTGTGCTGCTGAACCGGTTGCGGGTGGCAACTGACGTGGGCGGAGGACACGTTGTCGAGCGCATCGGTCCGACACCGCACAAGGGCAGCATGGGACCCTCCCGACCACGTCACGCAGGAGTTGTTTTAAATCCTCCGTCGCAAATCATACATGTGGAGCTTCCTTAAGCCGCTCCGACCGAGTGCGCCAGCCATACCACTCGCGAGCCTCTACGACAGGATAGGGCCTACGCGAGGCACGACTTACCTACACCTTACGGGAGTTGTCACCTTGCTTCGGTGGGCGTATCCCCGCCGAGCTACCAGTCCACAATACGAAAGTTAATCAGTTGCAATCGCAGAGGTGGACCAGCCGAGGGCGTTTCTCGTTCGTTGTAGCATAGGGGGTACGCACGGTAATACGCCTCTATCGGACCCGCACGCGAACCGACATCCTGGGGGGCTGAAGTCCCAAGCGCGACTCGTCGTCGGTCGACTAGGACGCATCCCACACACCACGCGCACACCACTTTACGAACACGAAAATAAAACCCCCCCACACACATACGAAACATCACAACATAAACAACGTGACAACGCTCCTAGCCCCTCGGTAGCCGTCCCATAACTTTCCAATGTGGAATTCGTATAGGCGTTGCGCATGAGACGTAATATAAAACCGCGCGGACGCAGGGCTATCGCGTATCGACTCGCAATGCAAACGTGAGCAAGCAGTCGCAATGAAGGCGTACTATGTAGTGCCTATAGTCAAGCGGTCCCTCGTGGATCCGAGCACCGCTTATGACACTCAAGTGTCAGACTCGAAGTGTCGTGAGGGTCTGATCCTTCACGACATTGCACGAGTGAAGGAATTGCCGTGAAGCCGCTGCGAGACCTTCGGCCTTTGGTCTGAGCGTCTCGGTAGGCAAGGCAAATAGGCTATGTCGCAAGGGAAAACCCCTTCCCCGCAGAACCTAGGGCTTGGGATGTCCTGGACAAGGACCTCGAATCCCGGCCCAGGACCAACGTCCGACTAAGAAAAATCTCAAGAAGCAAAACAAAATAAACAGAGGAGTCCTCCCTGAGCCTCTCAGTCTTACCCTCTTAAATATGCTCTTTGTACGGAGCCCATTAATCCATGCAGACATTCACCCTACGTACACCCATATATATATATATATATATATAAAGGGGAAAGTATGTGACGATCACTTCCCACAATCTCATTGGGGTCCCTCACAACCATACGTATATATGTGATCGGAGGCAACCAAATCCAGAATCTGATTCATAGCACATACCTGCAAAGCACATCAACGAGTCAATCGACAGCCCACGCACTACACGGAGTCAACCCCAACCATCTTCAACACTCATACCCCTTGCTTTAGCCATGCAAGCCCCAACCTCCTGTCCGACCAACCTTAATTAAATACTCAGTACCTTAATCAAATGGCCATTTAATAAAAGTCCGGGTGAAACCATAACGAAACAATGAAATCACCAGGGCTAAAGCCTTTTAGGTTGAGTGTGGAGGGTGAGTTGGAATTGAGTCGTAGACCGACGAATCGGCAACCGACCTATTATCAGTGACAATAGATAATGATCCTCAAGGGATCAAGCTGAATCTAGTCTTGACCTTGAATCAGACAACCCAAAGGACCTGTAACACAAGATAGGTCAAATGCCCAGGCTAAATCATCAGCATATGGGGGATAAACCTCCATAGCACACCTCCATATAACACTCTCTAGCGCCACCTGTCGAATATGATCTAACTCCTTTGAAAACAGGGAAATTTCGGCACCGCTTTCCGTAGGAAAGGTGCCCTTTCAGAATTTATATAAGCCTAAATACGAAATCAGAAATAACCCTTGATTTTCCAAAGTCCAAATTTTGTCAAACTTCCTGAATTAGCAAAATTTTGGGCAGCACTCCCTTTAGAAAAAGAGGCTTCCCATAATTTTACTAAGCCATATATGAAATCTTAGACAAGTTGGATTTTGAGAAGTCATAAATTTGACTAACTCCCCGAATTAGTAAAAATTTGGGCAGCACTCCCCTTAGAAAAGAAGGTTTTCCAGATTTTTACTAAGCCAGATATAATGGAAAGACAAGTCAAGCTTTGACAAGCCAAACTTTTGACTAACTCCCTAAATTAGCCAAAATTTGGGCAGCACTCCCTTTAGATAGGGAGGCTTCCCATATTTTTACTAAGTTATAAAGACAAGTCAAGTTTGGACAAGGCAAAATTTGACTAACTCTTTGGATTTGTAGAAATTTCGGCAACGCTTCCCGTAGAGAAAGTGGTCTGCCAAGATTTCTACAAAGGCAAGTATAAGAAAAGATCCCAGAAAAATGCGAAAATTGACCTAAGTAAAAAAAAACTTAGCTCAGAAAATGCAGGAATTGAAACTAACTCCTATGGCTCTAGCACGTGGCGAGCGACTAAAGCAACTACCTATCAAAACTGAAACTCAGACTAAGTAGTAACCTCACTCAGTCACATGCAGACCAAACCACAAGGATAAGTACTCTCACCATCCCAAAGTCAACCTGAACAAACAATAGTTCATGATCTCTCAATGATTTAACCCTTTATACCCGACTTACATAAGGCATATGCCAGGCTAGAGTAAGAATACCTAAACTTATAGAGCGTTCTGACTTGGCCAAATATACACAAACAGATGGCACAACTACTTTTCTCTTCTTTGGGCTTATGAGTAAACCACTGTAGTCGCCCTGGACTGTTTAATGTGTCCAAGTTATATATACTTATCCTTACCTTTGTTTTCTAAGGTTGCATATGACTGAACTAACTTAAGTTCAGCCTTCTCCAGTTTACCATCAATTCTATTCTTAGTTGTACTTTCTTCAAGTTGTGATACGGCTATAGTCAGACCACCTAAACTTATAGAACAGTCTGATTAGCTCGTTCTTAGATAGAGTAGTAATAAAGTATAGCCAAATTATAATCATTGGATTCCAGCATGTGGGAGGCTTTGAGCCAGACCCCCTGAACTTACAGAAGGGTCTTTGCCAGATTCATTTCTATCTGAGCCATTATGTGTGTGACATCGAGTCAGACCCCTTTAACTTACAGAAGAGTCTGCCTCTTTGCCAAGATTAATTCTTCAGAATAAAGAGCAGGAAGAGACTGAGCCACCTGAACTTACTGAACAACTCGGTCTGCTCGTTCAGAAACCAAAGAAACAAATAAAAGCCCAATGAAAACAAAGCAACCCAAGGCACCAAAACTTATTGAGAGCCCTGAGTCCCTAAAGATCAAGCACAATCAAAACCCCTCACAAGTCACAGCAGTCAGGCCACCTGAACTTACAGAACAGCCTGACCCTCCAATCAAACCATAGCACTGGGTCTCCTCAAACTTATGGGGACATCCCAGCCTCCAGAGTAATCAGGCCCCTTAAACTTATAGAAGGGTCTGACTTCTCCATGCAAAGCCAAAATAAAACAAAGCACTGGGGTTCCCCAAACTTATGGGGACTTCCCAGCCTTAACGACCCGTCAACCATTATGCAAAACAACCCACCATCCTGCCTTTCCCACAGATGCAGTTCTTTTCAACAGTCTGAATTCACGCAGTCAACAAAATTGAAACTGAAACTTGAACAGACATTCCTTTACTCAGTCTTGTTCAGTGTCCTGAAAGTCAAAAAAAAAAAAAAAAAAAAGGGTTGCACACCATATATTCAGTCAGAGATCCAATGGGAGATACAGATAGGGGTTATAATCAGGGTTTATAGAGGAAAACGCAAAGGTTACCTGTCAATTCCCTACCTCCAGAGCCTCGCCTAGGCTCCGGCAGAGCTCCCACAATCGGTGGGTGGACTCCCCACAGAGTCTTGGTGTGGTCCTACGGGTTGCAATCCCGCCTGCCGCCTTCCCCTCAGATCAGGACCAGACTTAGAGTAAGAAGGATAGAAGAAGAAGGTTTGAGACTCTCAGATACAAGAGGGGTGCTCTCAAACTCACTGGAGAGGGCCTTGTTTCCTTGACTCGCGTGAGGGCCCCGCAATGGCAGCAAATGTGTCAGCTTGGTCAACTCTCTGAAGTCAATCCGTCAAGAGTCACTCTCGGCCGACCTCCCGAATCACAACACTATCCTCCTTTGCCCAACCAACGCTGCCCCGCAGTCTGTAACAACCGGCCATCTCCTATGGTAGCATGCAGAACCATGCCGCATTAACGGTAGGCAGCGGCAGCACCCGGCAATGGCCACCAACAACAGTCGTATTCACCTGCCACAACAGTCCGCAGCAGCAGTCTATTGACAACAATCAACTAGCACCAGTAGTAACTGCTAGTCGCCACAATCTGCGCACAATCCACAGAAGCCCCTCACACTCACCAAGCAGACATTCGCCCGTAACGGTTGTCCGCAACAACAGTCCGCCGCAACTCTGTAACCCGTGTTCAGCCAACCATATTCGAAGTTGTAGACGGCGGCGGTCAGCAGCAACAATGAACAACAGCCTACAGCGATCGCTGACGGCACTTAGCCCGCAAGCACAGCGTCCGAACACCGTGAACAACAGTCCCCAGTATCATAAGACGACAAGGTTGTGTGCTCAGCGGCCGCCCTTGCAACAGACACCGTGGTGTAGAGTAACGGTAGTAACAGCGTCCTCCGCAGCATCTATGTACAGTCTTACAGCAGTCGCAGCCGCAACAACTGTTCAACCTCAGCCAACAAGCACAACCACATCATGCAGGTGTTACCTCCTTCCAGGCGGATTTCCCCCGCCAATCTTTGGCTCCACGTGGTTTTCGTATCGCCACCACAAGCTCCGCAGTCTCAATGGTCACGTCGAGAGGCACTGCCAGTATAGCCGGTGCTGTAATCCGTGCGTACCTGGTCCCTTACACAACCAATTTCAACCGAAGGCTGACGCAGGAGCTAACTCGCAGAAAATGGAGGGTGACGAGCAGGCTGCATCTTATGGACCAACGGATAGCGGGGGTGGCCACTACTGTGGACTTTAACTTAACAACACATCTTTCCGGGGTGAATGTATTCGCCCGCCAATACAGCCCGGTTCATCCCTCAAAAACCCAACACAGTCAGGCGCAGTCCTGAGTCACTGTCCCACTAAAAATATACCCCTACCACAAAATCTATCGAGGCCATCACCATCGTGATGGCTAAAAACCCCGCCCTACTATTTTC